TCCTTCTCCCGGTGTCCCGCTGTCCCTCCGTGTCCCTGCACGCGTTTCTTTCCTTGTCCCGGTGTCCCGCTGTCCCTCCGTGTCCCTGCACGTGTCCCCCTGCTATCCCGGGGGGATATCCCAGGTTTCCCCGGTGACCATGGTGTGACTGTGATTTCCCCACGGTGACCATGGTGTGAGCGTGGTGTCCCCGTGGGTGACCGTAGTGTCCCCGTGGTGTGACTGTGATGTCCCCACGGTGGCCGTGGTGTCCCCACGGTGTCCCCCCAGTGACCGTGGTGTGACTGATGTCCCCACGGTGGGCGTGGTGTCCCCGTGGGTGACCGTGGTGTCTCCCTGGTGTCCCCCGGTGACCATGGTGTCCCCCCGGTGTCTCCCTGGTGTCCCCCCCAATGTCCCCCGGTGACCATGGTGTGACCATGGTGTCCCCATGGGTGACCATGGTGTCTCCCCGATGTCCCCTCGCTGTCCCTTGCTGACTGTGGTGTCCCCCCGGTGTCCCCTGGTGACCGTGGTGTCCCCCCCTGTCCCTGTGGGTGACTGTGGTGTCCCCAGCTGTCCCCCTGAGGTGACCGTGGTGTCTCCCTGATGTCCCCTCGCTGTCCCCATGGTGTGACCATGCTGTCCCCTGTGTCCCCACAGGCTGTTACAAGATCACCACCGTGTTCAGCCATGCCCAGACCGTGGTGCTCTGCGTGGGCTGCTCCACCGTGCTGTGCCAGCCCACGGGGGGCAAGGCCCGGCTCACCGAGGGTGGGTCAAATTTTGGGATTGGGGGAGGTTGTGAATCCCAGGGGAGGGGTTTGGGGTGTTGGGAAGGGCCGGGTCCTTTTTGGGGTGGGGGTTTTGGGATCCTCGGGGGGCTCGTGGGAGCTGGGAGGGGCTGCTTTCCCCCTCTTTTGGAATTCCGGGGAGGGGTTTGGGATGAGGGGAAGGGCTGGGTCCTTTTTGGGATGGGGATTTTGGGATCCTCGGGGGGCTCCTGGAAGCTGGGAGGGGCTGCTTTCCCCTTCTTTTGGAATTCCAGGGGGGTTTGGAATCCCAGGGAGGGGTTTGGAATCCCAGGGAGGGATTTGGGATGCTGGGAAGGGCTGGGTCCTTTTTGGGATGGGGATTTTGGGATCCTCGGGGGGCTCGTGGGAGCTGGGAGGGGTTTGGAATCCCAGGGACGGGATTTGGGGTGTTGGGAAGGGCTGAATCCTTTTTAGGGTGGGGATTTTGGGATCCTCGGGGGGCTCCTGGAAGCCCAGGGAGGGGTTTGGAATCCCAGGGACGGGATTTGGGGTGTTGGGAAGGGCCGGGTCCTTTTTGGGATGGGGATTGTGGGATCCTCGGGGGGTTCCTGCAAACCGGGAGGGGCTGCTTTCCCCCTATTTTGGAATTCCAGAGAGGGGTTTGGAATCCCAGGGAGGGATTTGGGATGAGGGGAAGAGCCGGGTCCTTTTTGGGGTGGGGATTTTGGGATTCTCGGGGGGCTCGTGGGAGCAGGGAGGGGCTGCTTTCCCCCTATTTTGGAATTCCAGGGTGGGGTTTGGAATCCCAGGGAGGGGTTTGGGATGAGGGGAAGGGCTGAATCCTTTTTAGGGTGGGGATTTTGGGATCCTCGGGGAGCTCATGGGAGCTGGGAGGGGGCTGCTTTCCCCTTCTTTTGGAATCCCAGGGTGGGGTTTGGGAGATTTGGGATGCTGGGAAGGGCTGGGTCCTTTTTGGGGTGGGGATTTTGGGATCCTCGGGGGGCTCCTGGAAGCCGGAAGGGGCTGCTTTCCCCCTATTTTGGAATTCCAGGGTGGGATTTGGAGCTGTGTCAGGTTTGGGCTGAAACACCTCAAATTTCCAACAATTTCTGTTCCATCCCAGGCTGTTCGTTCCGGCGGAAGCAGCACTGAGAGAGCCGGGATGCCACGGAGAGACGGGAATTCCGCCCGATCCCTGTAGCCCCCTCCCGCTTCCCACCAATAAATTTTGGATAAAACACCCCAAATGGGTCAGTTCTGGTTCTTGGCTGCGGGGACGGTGGGATTCGGGGGTTTGGGGGTGGGATTTTTTCCCTGGGAGGGGTTGGAGTGGATTTTTAGGGGATTTGTGGGGTGTCTGAGGTGAGGTTTTCCTCTGGTGGGGATCCCAAATCTTCAATTCCTGAGGGATCCGGGTGCAGCTGCTGCCACAACTTTGGAATTCTTTGGGATGCTCTGCTGGACTCAATTGGGAATTCCATGGGGAATTCAGGAGCCTTTCCTGACTGGGAATAACCGGGAATATCCTAATGGGGATCCCAACCAGCTCTTCCCATCTGAACGGGAGCAACTGGGATGTTTTGGGAAGGGGATCTGGGATTTCAGATCATTCCCACATGGAGCCCCCAAAATCCATCCTGGGATGTGATCCCAGTTCCTGCTGATCCTTTGGGAACCTCATCC